ATGAAAGACGACAAAGTGATATGTATCGCAGTATTAAAACACTAGATGAATTGACTAAGCAACTAAATAAAGATGGTTATCAGGTGAGTAGGAGCACCGTTTACACTCGGCTAATGCCACGACGAAGTTCAACTTTGGAAGGAAAAAGACACATATCAACAGTGCCAGTCAAATTGATCCGATCTCAGAATGAGTCACACTCAAAGCACATCGATGGAAAATTCTGTACAGCAACCTTGAGACACCTGGAAGAGTTGTCGTCTATACTGGGACCAAAAAAAAAAGTCTGTTTTATTAGCCAAGATGACAAAGCGCGAGTCCCTATTGGGTTAACAGCTGCAATCAAACAAGCTCCATTGCTTATGCATGTTGAATATCGCATCAATTTGCCAGACCACGATTGGGTTGTTGCAGCAAGACATAAGCTTATTCCATCAGTATATGCTGGAATTTGCATCAAGAAAGATGGACTTGGTAAACCAGTAGCTGTTACGTATTCAGGTCCAACTTATATTGCAATCCGATCAGGCAAACATTCGTCTTCTTCTGCTCTTGCTCATGGTTTAGACTTTGAGAGATTGTTACAATTAGACGAATTTGATGCAATAACAAAAGACGGCAGAGATAAGATAATAAAGCCTATTGTTGTCTTCACGGTGGATGGAGGACCAGATGAAAATCCACGTTATCAAAAAGTCATAGATGTTGCTATCCACCATTTTGTTAAAAATAATCTAGACGCCTTATTTATTGCAACCAACGCGCCAGGTAGAAGTGCTTTCAATAGAGTGGAACGTCGAATGGCTCCACTGAGCAGAGAACTTTCTGGTGTTATATTGCCTCATGAACGCTATGGTAGCCATCTCGATTCACAGGGCAGAACAATAGATGATTATTTGGAGAGAAGAAATTTCAAGTATGCTGGACAAACATTGGCTGAAATATGGTCACAAGTTATTATTGACCAGTTTCCAACAGTTGCCGAGTTTATTGATCCAGAGACATCTGAGCTAGATGCAGAAGAATTGATAATTAAAGATATAAAATGGTTTTCTGAACACGTCCGCACAAGTCAATACTTTACTCAAATTGTTAAATGTCAAGATGTAAAATGTTGCTTTAAAATAAGAATCTCATATTTCAATGTTGTTCCTTCGCGATTTTTATGTCCTCCAATTCCAGTTATTCAAACAAGTAATGGTCTTCAAGCTGACAAAAGAGGAGAAAGTGAGTCTCATAAGTATCCATCACTTTTTGTTTCACATAGTATTAAAATAGATGATATAATGGCCAGATCGGCAGGAAGTTTCCAAGTTCATCCTTATGATCTCTTTTGTCCATCAGTACAGACTTGTCTATTGAATCGAATATGCAAAGTTTGCCATCTCTATTTTGCTTCTCAAGCTATCTTGAAAAAACATGTTGAATTGCACAAAAATTGCGATAAAGGAAATACTGTTCTTGAGAAAACTCAAACAAAGCGTATCAGACCAATAAGAGTAGCCGCTAGAAGACAAAGAGAGCTGATGGTAGTTATTGCTCGAGAAAAAAATGAAGATATAGAGTGGCTGGATGAAGACGAAGTTGATGTTTCGGGAATTGTCATTCCAGATGAAGATTTAGAAAAAACATCAGAAATGCCTGTCCTAACTATAGACGAACACTTCAAATCTCCGTGGATGGATAATAATAAATGGGTAGATAAAGTAAAAGTTTAATTTGTAATTTGAAAAACATAAGGTTCAAATAAAAAAACTATTTTTATTTTATTTTATGATGACAATCTTTCCCAATAAATTAAGAAGGTATTTCAAATTAGTTAAATTGAGTCTTTTTTATTCTGTTAAATAGCTATTACTATGTTTTTAGAATGTTGAAAATTCCGTAATGGTTTGTTTTTTTTTAGAGGGAGGGGGGGGGGAGAAACATGTGACATACTTTTTTAGGGGGGGTGCAGAAATATGTGACAGTTTGTGACAGGAGGGGGGGAGGGGGTTGAAAATTGAAAAAAATAGCGTGACATACTTTATGGACGACCCCCAAGCTGTTCTGTTTTGATTTTTTGTAGGTTGTTATTATATTTAAAAAATTGACAAGATTGAAAAAACTTGAAACATATTGACATTTAAGTGGAGAATTTGAAACATCAATTTTAGATTTGCTCCTATCTTGATAGTTTCTGATTGCTAAAATTTTGTTACCTGCTTTTTAGACCATTAAAAATGGTAAACGCGGCTTTTTCGTAAATCGTTAAAGCGTCACTTTGTGACTAGAAAAACCAACTAGAAACAAGTTTTTATTTAATTTTTTTAAGAAAACTTGTTCTATTAAAGATATATGGAATATATTTTTATGGGATATATTCTAATAAAGACAAAAACTATTTATTTATTACTATTGTAATAAAAACAAACTCTTATCCGTGAAATGATATATCTGTACTAGTTTTATACCTTTTTGTGCAATTGTATAATTAAAATTAATCAAAAAATATAAGATAAATTTAAAAGAAAATTTGACGCATTTAGGTTTATTTTGCCACAAACTGGCTTCACAAACTGACATTTTGACTTAACTTTTAGATTAGCGTTTAATTTTATTCTTTAGTTTGTAATCATAATCATAAGAATGAACTTTATTTTTTATAAATATATTTTAGTGCTCTAAGATCTTCTTAGTTCTATTTGTATAGCGTTACATCCAAACGTCTGTAAGTGTAATCGTCTTTAGCATATGTTGTGTTTGCAGGCAGTATATGGAATAATCGCGTATAATGTATCTACAAAATGAGAAAATTTAAAATTTTATTTTAAATTTTAGAAATCTTTTTAGTTATGTTATTATTATTTTGCTATAAATATATAAGCAAGATTAAAAAAATATTAAAATTTATTAGGCAAACCTTTGGGGAGTCTTAAACCCCAAAAACAAAACTGATGACTGCGCACTTCACTGAGCTATCAATAAAATACATTTAGTAGAAAAACAAACCTAATTTATGTCTCTTATAAGCTCTTTGTATGCGAAAAAGGCTCGCATGTAAAGTTTTTTGCTCTTAGAGTTATTTTTCAGAAGAAATTATTTTACTAAAAAGTATTTGTGAGAAATAGATATGTATATTGGTAAAGACTTGTATTTTATGGTCTATATATAACTTATTTATCCTAGCTTTCCGGATCAGTAAAATACAGGTCTTTTCCAATTTACATATCTATTCCTCACCATTTATTTCTATATCTATTCCTTATATAATATAAGGAAAAAGTATATAAAAGTTCGGTTTGAAATAGATTCACAAAGACCCGTATTTTTACGGGTCCTATCTCAGTTAGTATTTAAATAATAAATTATTACAAAAATATTACGTGAAATTACAAAAAATTACGAGAAAAAATAAGAAACGATGTTTTGTTAAGAGCATTGTTCTTATTTTGAACTTAATTTATATAGAAATGTTTTAAAAACTGTTTTATTTATGTTATGAATGAAAACCCACTCATGAAAATTAAAAATATAAATAATCGTTTTGATATCGTTTTATTTTTAGGAAAGAGCGTAAAAATATAAAGTATAAAAATGACTAAATGACTATATAAATTTCTCACCCCCTCAAATTGAGAGGAGTTCAAACTTTATATGGTCATATTTTTTGAGTGCTAAAATATTTTACTATGAAATTTAAAGTTTATCGATGAATATAAGTCTAGTTGAAAATAGTACAAAAAATGTTTCCTTAACTTGTTGCTCTCACGTTTGGGGCAAGGAGGAACAAAATTTTGAGGCTTTTTTGTTCCCAGGCTCTATAACTGCAATTTTTTGCAAAGCATCCTTATTTAAATAAGGATGCTTTGCAAAAAATTGCTGTCAATTGACATAAGTATAAACAAATGTGTTTAATTTGCGCCATGTCTGAAAGTTAGCTCAAAGACCAAAAAATGCTGGATCAGCCCCTGTAAGTAAGCACTGTCAAAACCATTATATATATATATATATATATATATATATATATATATATATATATATATTCTATATCTTCTTGCATGCAGTGCTTGTCTATGTCCTAAACAAGATTTTTGGCTGTGTATTCGGTATTTATGTTGCCCTCAGGAGTATGCTCTTCAATTAGTTCTACATCATCAGTTACATTTACTTTTTCCAAATAAGTCGTTTCTTTAAATGGTTTATCTACATACACTAGACTTTAAATATTTTCTTTCGGACATTTTTAATTATATTTATAAGCCCCTAATCTTCAAAATAAATTTCAAAGAAATATAAGAAAAAATTGGTTTACAAAAAATATGTGCTTAGATTGTTTAAAAGTAAATTTTAGAGTTAAAAATTATTTTGCAATTAAATAATATATATTTCCGAATAATAAAACAAAATCAACTATACTCTTATAGCCTTATTTATTTTTTCTTTTTTATTTTTTCTTTTTTATAAAATAAGTTCTATCTAAAATATTTTCATTGTGGTTATTTTGGATTTTTTTTATCTTATTCCTTGGCACAGTTCAGGCGGACATTAGATTGTAGTTTGGTGCTGGGAATCTTTTTGATTGGGGACCCTACACTTCAGCCTACTCAGCCTTATAGGAGATCCGCTGCTGTTTGGAGCATTCATACAATTTTCAGAAATTTTTTGTTATTGCATTATGTATTCAATCTGCTAAAAGTAATTACAAAAATTTAACTTACACACTTGAAATATCAAAACACACACACACACACACAAAAAAAAATAAGTAAATTTTTTATAAAATAAGGTTTTTTACTGTTTGTAAAATTCATAAACTGAATATATTTCAATGTTTTTCTTTGAAAATGAGAGAAGATAGAAATTAGGAGATATTTTAATCTTATTATATACCTATCTATATTACTACTATATACAATATATTTTTACTATTATTGATCTTACTAATATATATATATATATATATATATATATATATATATATATATATATATATATATATATATATATATATATATATATATATATATATGCAATATTATATTTTATCATCTTCAATTCTATAACAATAAATTTATAAAGATCCTTGTGAATATCCTAGTGAAGAAGCAGGTCTTTTCATAATTTCTTTATTATCTCGAAAAAGATCATTGCGCCCATGATTCGGATTCGGATAGTCTATATCAACCTCGTCGTACCCGTCATCGCTTATATAGTCTTCGAACTGTTGTCCATATTGAGACTCGTATAATTGCTGAATGTTATACTGTGGGACACCACCATACATAGATTGAGCATTACTTGCCAATTGCCGATTTCCAGATGTAATTGAACGAGTATCAAAATTCTATAAACAATAAATCTAAAATATATACTTATTATTACAAATATTCCTAACACAATTTATTCATCTATTTTTATTCATCAAAGATGTTAACACAATTTATTTATCTATTATTAATTATTAGAACGTATACAACTAAAACTATTATCCCATTTTTCTTCATCATCAGAACCCCCTTTCATTCTAACTCCTACAACTACCTGAAAGCTGACTGAGAACTTTTCCGTGATTTTCTTAGTGATGGCCCTCGGGTAGAAATCTTTCTTCGTCCTGCTGACAAATGTGTCTCTTATGTAACTTCTTGGATTCAGGCTTGCATAGAATCTTTCATTCCCACTTGACTATTATAAGTCAAACCTCACTCTTCTCCGTGGTTTTTTTTTATTGTGTTGCTGAAATTTCCATTCGTAAGTATTACTTTCATATCTAAGACCAATACAATTCTCTAGAAAACAGACGTCTGTTTACTAAAAACCATTGTAAAAAGATTTTGAAAAGAGATTAAAGCCATATCACACTATTTTCAGGTCACAAAATGTCGCATTTCATCTCTAAAATTAGGCTCCCAAGACGTCTAAAAAATCTTGAACAGTCTACTTTTTTTTCAAGCATTTATTTTTTAGAGCTTGCTCCCTTCATCTTGTTTTCCTGATACATATAACTTGTAATTTTTAGCGCCATCTTTTTGTTTTATAAAGATCATCTTTTCTCTTCTACTAACTTTCGACTCTGTGGTTCAATCTCGTATGAAGTGAAGATGTTTACTTTCAATCTCGTATGAAGTGAAGATGTTTACTTTCAATCTCGTATGAAGTGAAGATGTTTACTTTCAATCTCGTATGAAGTGAAGATGTTTACTTTCAATCTCGTATGAAGTGAAGATGTTTAAAATAAAAATTTAAAGGTGTTTTAAAATATTTTAGATATATAAGAATTTTTGGAGCACTTAGGAACAGTCACATTAACTTTCTTTTTTGTTTTTTATATAGTTGAAGTTTTTTATATAGTTGAAGTTTATAAAGTTGAAGTTTATAAAGTTGAAGTTTATATAGTTGAAGTTTATATAGTTGAAGTTTATATAGTTGAAGTTTATATAGTTGAAGTTTATAAAGTTGAAGTTTATATAGTTGAAGTTTATATAGTTGAAGTTTATATAGTTGAAGTTTATATAGTTGAAGTTTATATAGTTGAAGTTTATATAGTTGAAGTTTATATAGTTGAAGTTTATATAGTTGAAGTTTATATAGTTGAAGTTTATATAGTTGAAGTTTATATAGTTGAAGTTTATATAGTTGAAGTTTATATAGTTGAAGTTTATATAGTTGAAGTTTATATAGTTGAAGTTTATATAGTTGAAGTTTATATAGTTGAAGTTTATAAAGTTGAAGTTTATATAGTTGAAGTTTATATAGTTGAAGTTTATATAGTTGAAGTTTATATAGTTGAAGTTTATATAGTTGAAGTTTATATAGTTGAAGTTTATAAAGTTGAAGTTTATATAGTTGAAGTTTATATAGTTGAAGTTTATATAGTTGAAGTTTATATAGTTGAAGTTTATATAGTTGAAGTTTATATAGTTGAAGTTTATATAGTTGAAGTTTATATAGTTGAAGTTTATATAGTTGAAGTTTATATAGTTGAAGTTTATATAGTTGAAGTTTATATAGTTGAAGTTTATATAGTTGAAGTTTATATAGTTGAAGTTTATATAGTTGAAGTTTATATAGTTGAAGTTTATATAGTTGAAGTTTATATAGTTGAAGTTTATATAGTTGAAGTTTATATAGTTGAAGTTTATATAGTTGAAGTTTATACAGTTGAAGTTTATATAGTTGAAGTTTATATAGTTGAAGTTTATATAGTTGAAGTTTATATAGTTGAAGTTTATATAGTTGAAGTTTATATAGTTGAAGTTTATATAGTTGAAGTTTATATAGTTGAAGTTTATATAGTTGAAGTTTATATAGTTGAAGTTTATATAGTTGAAGTTTATATAGTTGAAGTTTATATAGTTGAAGTTTATATAGTTGAAGTTTATATAGTTGAAGTTTATATAGTTGAAGTTTATATAGTTGAAGTTTATATAGTTGAAGTTTATATAGTTGAAGTTTATATAGTTGAAGTTTATATAGTTGAAGTTTATATAGTTGAAGTTTATATAGTTGAAGTTTATATAGTTGAAGTTTATATAGTTGAAGTTTATATAGTTGAAGTTTATATAGTTGAAGTTTATATAGTTGAAGTTTATATAGTTGAAGTTTATATAGTTGAAGTTTATATAGTTGAAGTTTATATAGTTGAAGTTTATATAGTTGAAGTTTATATAGTTGAAGTTTATATAGTTGAAGTTTATATAGTTGAAGTTTATATAGTTGAAGTTTATATAGTTGAAGTTTATATAGTTGAAGTTTATATAGTTGAAGTTTATATAGTTGAAGTTTATATAGTTGAAGTTTATATAGTTGAAGTTTATATAGTTGAAGTTTATATAGTTGAAGTTTATATAGTTGAAGTTTATATAGTTGAAGTTTATATAGTTGAAGTTTATATAGTTGAAGTTTATATAGTTGAAGTTTATATAGTTGAAGTTTATATAGTTGAAGTTTATATAGTTGAAGTTTATATAGTTGAAGTTTATATAGTTGAAGTTTATATAGTTGAAGTTTATATAGTTGAAGTTTATATAGTTGAAGTTTATATAGTTGAAGTTTATATAGTTGAAGTTTATATAGTTGAAGTTTATATAGTTGAAGTTTATATAGTTGAAGTTTATATAGTTGAAGTTTATATAGTTGAAGTTTATATAGTTGAAGTTTATATAGTTGAAGTTTATATAGTTGAAGTTTATATAGTTGAAGTTTATATAGTTGAAGTTTATATAGTTGAAGTTTATATAGTTGAAGTTTATATAGTTGAAGTTTATATAGTTGAAGTTTATATAGTTGAAGTTTATATAGTTGAAGTTTATATAGTTGAAGTTTATATAGTTGAAGTTTATATAGTTGAAGTTTATATAGTTGAAGTTTATATAGTTGAAGTTTATATAGTTGAAGTTTATATAGTTGAAGTTTATATAGTTGAAGTTTATATAGTTGAAGTTTATATAGTTGAAGTTTATATAGTTGAAGTTTATATAGTTGAAGTTTATATAGTTGAAGTTTATATAGTTGAAGTTTATATAGTTGAAGTTTATATAGTTGAAGTTTATATAGTTGAAGTTTATATAGTTGAAGTTTATATAGTTGAAGTTTATATAGTTGAAGTTTATATAGTTGAAGTTTATATAGTTGAAGTTTATATAGTTGAAGTTTATATAGTTGAAGTTTATATAGTTGAAGTTTATATAGTTGAAGTTTATATAGTTGAAGTTTATATAGTTGAAGTTTATATAGTTGAAGTTTATATAGTTGAAGTTTATATAGTTGAAGTTTATATAGTTGAAGTTTATATAGTTGAAGTTTATATAGTTGAAGTTTATATAGTTGAAGTTTATATAGTTGAAGTTTATATAGTTGAAGTTTATATAGTTGAAGTTTATATAGTTGAAGTTTATATAGTTGAAGTTTATATAGTTGAAGTTTATATAGTTGAAGTTTATATAGTTGAAGTTTATATAGTTGAAGTTTATATAGTTGAAGTTTATATAGTTGAAGTTTATATAGTTGAAGTTTATATAGTTGAAGTTTATATAGTTGAAGTTTATATAGTTGAAGTTTATATAGTTGAAGTTTATATAGTTGAAGTTTATATAGTTGAAGTTTATATAGTTGAAGTTTATATAGTTGAAGTTTATATAGTTGAAGTTTATATAGTTGAAGTTTATATAGTTGAAGTTTATATAGTTGAAGTTTATATAGTTGAAGTTTATATAGTTGAAGTTTATATAGTTGAAGTTTATATAGTTGAAGTTTATATAGTTGAAGTTTATATAGTTGAAGTTTATATAGTTGAAGTTTATAATAGTTGAAGTTTATATAGTTGAAGTTTATATAGTTGAAGTTTATATAGTTGAAGTTTATATAGTTGAAGTTTATATAGTTGAAGTTTATATAGTTGAAGTTTATATAGTTGAAGTTTATATAGTTGAAGTTTATATAGTTGAAGTTTATATAGTTGAAGTTTATATAGTTGAAGCCTTAGTTACTGTTTTAGCTCACATATACTTCATATGTATGTTTGTGTTTTGCCTAAACCTCTGGTGAGGCATTGACTCACCCGTACATTGCTATCTGCATGTTTGTGTTCTTGTTATCTCTTGTTTATCTCTTTTGCGTTTATGTCTAAACGTCTGGCACAGTGTTCATTCACCAGTAAGTTAATATATGTATGTTTGTGTTCTGTTTAAATCTTTGATGTGAGCCCATTAACTAAATAGCTGATCAAACTATAAAACCTCAATCTCTAGTATTTTGTTAGATGTAGTATTTTCCAAATACATTTCCAAAATATCATGCATGATGTTTTAAGGTACTGCTTGCATGAAGTAACTCCTTTTAACTACTCCAGGTCAGGTCAAGCTTAGGACCATCACAATGACAATATTACTGGAATCATTTAACCAAGTAATACATGCAATATGCTCTACTGCCTTGTAGAGTGTGCTTCTTTAGGCAAAAGCTAGGAGAAACAAACTCTAACTTTAAAATCCCCTACCTTGAAACTCTTGATTGAGTAATGGCTTGAGATAATGTCTCGATAAAAATACCCATCTTGGACAGATTTTAACTGTATCCAACTAAAATTCTTCACTCAAAGACTCTAACAGTCACATGCTTGGCTTTGGGTATACATACACATCAATTCACCTATTTGTTGTGAAATCATGTTCGCATCTTTTAACCATTTTTTTGTGTGCTTCTGCTTAGCACCTTTTCATTCTTCACCTTTCTCTTTTACTCCTTTGCCAATATTGTTATTATTGGTGACTTTAATGCTAATCTAACTGAATAACTTAGCTTTAACGCTACTAATCCTACTGGCACTAAAACCTAAAACTTTGCATT